GGTCAAATAATACAGAGGCATCTATGTGACAAACAGAGACAATACCTGTAATCACAACATCTGAAGCAATAGCATCTGGTATGGCAGGGAGGGCATAGAAATGGGCCTGGCCAGCCAATGATCTGCCTCCCCCTCTAGGGCGACCCTTATCTGACTGACCTCCACCCCGAGCTGACTGGGCGAGTGGTGAAGTAACTGGTGCTGAAGTCGAAGGCTGACTCTTTTGCTAAAATAGACCTCCATGATGACGAGGACACTGCATCCACATATGCCCAAACTCCCCACACTCAAAATAACTCCCTAATGCTAGTGGCGGGAACTGAAGGGAACCCCTAACACTCGGATAACTGGTAGAAGAACCTGGCATGGAGGAGTCCTGAACTGGTGGAGCATGGGACGAACTCTGATCTGGAAGGGCACTAAGTGATGAGTGGCCCTGATGAGAACTGTGAGAACCATGGCTAGATGATGCACCACGGTGAAATGGCTGAGCTGACTGAGCCTGTCTGAAATGACGACCTCTACCGTGCTGGAACTAACCCCCAAAAGGAGCACCACTAAATCCACCCTGACCACGAGGCCTCCTGGCCTCCCTCTCAACCCTCTCCTGACCGCGAACCATCTCAATTGCCGATCAATGTCAACAACCTCATCAAAGGTAGCACGAGACACCCTCTCTCTGGTCATAAGCAATTATAGCTGAAAAGTGAGACCATCAATAAACCTCATGGTCCTCTCCCTGTCCATGGGAACCAACCAGATAGCATGACGGGTCAACTCCGAGAATTGCATCTCATACTGCATCACAGACATGTCACCCTGCAAAGCCACTCAAACTGTCTGCGCAGCTCCTCTCTATGGGACTGAGGCACTAACTTCTCCAAAAAGACCATAGAGAACTACTGTTAAGTAAGGGGTGCTACGCCAATAGGCCTTCGCCTCTCGTAAGTCTCCCACTATCTGAATGCAGCCCCAAAAAATTGAAAAGTAGTGAATGAGACCCCACAAGTCTCCAGAATACCAGTACTACGGAGTATCCTCTGACACCTATCCAAGAAGTCTTGAGTATCCTCTCTATCTGTGCCACTGAAAGGTGGTGGCTGGAGTCTCCCAAACCTCTCCAACCTACGCTGATCATCCTCAAACATGGCAGGAACCACATAATCCAGTGCAACTGCAACCGGCTGGCCTGGTGGCGCCCCCGGTGTTTGGAGTCCCTGAACAACCTGCTCGGGTGTGCGAGCAACTGGAGTCTAAGTGCTTGTGCCTCCCCCGTCCTGAGAAGTGGTTGCGGCCGTCGAGATAGAGACTGCCTGAGCAAGGTCGGTACACGCTGTCAGAATCTGAGCTAGGGCCTCCTGAAGGCCTGGAATCACAATAGGCATAGGTGGTGCCTGAGCTGGTGCATCAAGAACTGGAATCTGGTCCTGATCTGAGGTAACTGGTAGATCTGCAGGTACTGCCCCAGCTGTGGAGCGGACTGCACCTCTACCCCTACCACGGCCTCTACCGCAGCCTCGGTCTCTCGCGGCCCTAGCTGGTGGTACTAGTGGCTGGCCCTCCTGACCAGTAGTACGAGTCCTCACCATCTGTGAGAGAATGAAATAATAGATGTTTAGTTACTAGAATCAATAGATTCGCACGACAATAATTCAATAATTTGGAGTTTTCTAAGGGTTATTCAGCCTCTCGAAGATAAGTACAGATGTGTCCGTACCGATCCGCAAGACTCTACTAAACCCGCTCATGACTCGTGAGACCTATGTAACCTAGGCTCTGATACCAATCTGTCACGACCCAAAAACCTAACCTGTCGTGATGGCGCCTATCGTGGAACTAGGCAAGCCGACTCATTCCAAAACAAACCGATATTTTCATTTCAAGGATAATTTCAAGGCTATTTAGCGTAAAAACCTTCGTAAAGAAGTTCAAATCAAAACAAATACGGAAAAGAAAAACCCGACATCGAGGTGTCAATAGTCATGAGCATCTACTACAATCTGTCTAAGTATATCAAGACTAACTCAGCCTGAAAAATAACTAAATACAACTAAAGGAAGATAAGTGGGAGAAGCAGGGCTGCGATCTCCAGACACTTACCTTGCTATCCCCGGGAAAATCTACAACCAGAATAGTCAACAGCCGCTACCGTGTCCAAATATGCCTAAATCTGAATACAAAGTGCAGGAAGTAACGTGAGTACGCCAACTCAGTAAGTAACAACAATAAATAAAGACTGAGCAGTGGTGACGAGAAATAAACCATATAAAGTTCATATCATGAAATCTCATTAAAATACAACATGCAAAATCAGTGTTTGAATCAAATCATCTCGTTTAAACCCAGTTCCAGTAAAATCATTTAAAGATATTTTTCAACAGTTTTCAAATAGAGGCTCAATGCAAAGGTGAGCAAAAGTGATGAAATAATAAACAACCCCTCGGGCAAAACATCACTCATATACAGCCCCTCGGGCAAACCTCATAGTTACTCATGCCTCTCGGGCATACCTCACAGTCACACATGCCACTCGGGCATAACTCGCAATCACTCATGCCACTCGGACATACCTCATAATCACTCATGCCTACCAGTCACTCAGCACTCGGCACTCGCACTCAGTAGGTAGCTGCGATGCGCTCACTGGGGGTGTGTATAGACTCTAGAGGGGCTCCTTCAGCCCAAGCACTATATCAAGCCAAATCATGGCATAAATCATTCAAGCCCTCGGCCTATATCAAACATGCTGTGGCATGAAGCCGGATCCCATAAATATCCTCACAAATCAGGCCCTCGGCCTCACTCAGTCATAAACCTCTCAAGCCACTCGGGCATTTAAGTAAAAACAGGGTATTCAACCCAAAAAAACATTTTTGCATCAAAACCGAGTTATAAAAACTGAGTTATGCAGTAAACAGATATAACCATGATCGAGTATAGATTTTCAATCGAAAACAGTGAGAGGATAGTATGAAAAATCCCCTAAGGATCCACACAACACTAGCACAAGGCCCAAAATATGGCATTCAGGCCAATTTGTAGAAACACTTTCTAAAACATATAAGTATCATATAGTATCAACAAAATATGCAACGTTACAGTTGCTACGGGATGGACCAAGTCACAATCCCCAATAGTGTACGCCCGTCATCTCAAAATAGTAGAATGATATAAAATCCGGGGTTTCATACCCTCAGGACTAGATTTACGATCGTTACATACCTCAAATCGGTCAGATCTCTACCCCGCGATGCTCTTGCCTCTCGACTCGGCCTCCAAATATTCCGAATCTATTCACAATCAGTACAATACCATCAATATACGCTAATGGAATGAATTCCACAAGAAAAACTATCAAATTAGACCAAAATCCAGAAATTGGCTCAAACCCGGCACCCGAGCCCACATCTCGAAATCCGACAAAATTTACAAAACTAGAAAGCCCATTCACTCACAGGTCCAACCATGCTAGTTTCACTCAAATCTGACTTCGAATCGACATTTAAATCCCAAAAATTCATTTTATGAAGTTTCTATAATTTTTTCCAAATTTCCACCTCAAAGTACTAATCAGATGATGAAATCATTGATATATTCATGTATTTTAACCAAATTCGGGTTAGAATCACTTACCCCGATAAATTTATTGAAAAACCCATGAAAGAATCGCCACAAACCGAGCTCCCTAGGTCCAAAATGTGAAATAATACCCTAAACCCCGTTTATATAGTGCACCTCTGATCTCCCACTTCGCAGTCCGCGAAATTTTGGTGCGATCCGCGAAATTCTTGGGACTGCACTTCCAGGATTTAGTATTTTGGCTATTATTTTTTATACAAATGTCCAAATGATGACTTCTTTATCTTTCTGGAAACTAGATACGAATGGCTACAACTTTTGTTTTTGAATCATCTCAAAATTCCTTGTAGATCAAAAGATATAGACTTTCAAAGTCGGACCAGCGGATCTGCAAAACTTCCAAGCGTGGTCCCCAAAATTCTGCCGCGGTCCGTGAAATTCCAAGCACCAGAACCATACCTGAGTTCCGAAAATGCCCGAACTCGCTCAAAACTCACCCCGAAACACACCCGAGGCCCCCGGGACCTCAACCAAACATACCAACCAATCCTAAAACACCATACGAACTTAGTCGAACCTTCGAATCACTCAAAACAATATCAAAACACCAAATTACCCTCGGATTCAAGCCTAAGAACTTCTAAACTTACGAATTCCACAACCGATGCCGAAACTAACCAAACCACATCCGAATGACCTCAAATTTTGCACCACACATCAAAAATGACACTACGAACCTACTCCAACTTCCGAAATTCCATTCCAACCCTGATATCAAATTTTCCACTGCCGACCGAAATCGCCAAATTTCCAACATTTGCAAATTCAAGCCTAATTCCACTCCGGACCTCCAAATCACATTCCGGATGCGCTCCTAAGTCCAAAATCACCTAACGAAGCTAATGGAACCATTAGAATTCAAATCCGAGGTCGTTTACACATAAGTCAATATTCGAGTGACTTTTTCCAACTTAAGCTTCTACTTTAGTGACTAAGTGTCTTATTCCACTTCGAAACCACTCCGGACCCGAACCAACTAACCCGGTATATCATAATATAACTTAAAAGCATAAAGAAAGCATAAATGGGGGAAACGGGGCTATAACTCTCGAAACGACCGGTCGGGTCGTTACACCCAACTTCTGTCAAAGCAATAAGAAGTTTCCTTGATCATGCCGGTTTCTACAGACTGTTTATAAAAGATTTCTCCAAAATTGCTAACCCCTTGTGTAAACTGCTTGAAAAAGATCACCCTTTTGCGTTTTTTGATGACTGTAGGGTGGCATTTGAGGAGTTGAAGAAGAAGCTGGTGACTGCACCAATCATAGTGGCCCTTTGACTGGGGGCAACCTTTTGAGCTGATGTGTGATGCAAGAGACTATGCTGTAGGAGAAATTCTTAGGCAGTGAAAAGATAAAGTCATGCATCTGATCTACTATGCAAGTAGAACCTTGAGCGGCGCCCAACTGAACTACACAGTGATAGAGAAAGAGATGCTAGCTATGGTGTTTGCATTTGATAAGTTCAGGTCATACCTGATAGGCTTAAAGGTAATTGTTTACATTGACCATGTTGCCCTCAGGTACCTAATTGATAAAAATGAGTCAAAGCCGTGCCTAATTCGATGGGTGCTACTGCTACAAGAGTTCGACTTGGAAATCCGGGACCGAAAGGGTATATAAAACCAAGTTGTTGATCATTTGTCTAGGCTTGAAGAAGCGGAAAAGAAGGTTGAGGTGGAGGAGATCATGGAGACTTTCCCATATGAACAACTGTTAGCAACGAGGCTCGAGGATACACCATGGTATGCAAATATTGCAAATTACCTAGCAAGCGGTATTGTTCCCTATGACTTGTCTTCTGTGCAAAAGAAAAAGTTTTTCAGTGATCGTCACATGTATTTTTGGGATGAACCATATTTGTTCAGGATTTGTCTTGATAACATGATTCGGAGATGCATTCCCGAGATAGATCAATCTTCTATTTTGCAGGCATGTCATGCTTCACCGTATGAAGGACATTTTGGAGGTGTAAGGACAACGGCTAAAATGTTGGAGTCAGGTTTTTATTGGCCGACGTTGTTTAAAGATGCACACTTCTGTGTGAAAAGTGGTGATGAGTGCCAACGGACGGGGAATATTTCCCGTCGACATGAGATGCCCATTGTCACGACCCAAAATCCACCTAGTCATGATGGCACCTAACCCAACCCGTCAGGTAAGCCAATTAACAACTATCCAATTCCATTAATATATAACTGACTCTAATACACTCCCCAAGGACTGGTAGTGCAAATCATGAGCTTCTAAGATTAGAATTTACAAAGCTGGTGTGAAATAAGAATGCATCATCTGTTTGAAATATACATGAACAGATTAAAATTCTAAAGCTACCATGAATAAGAGACAGCAATGACTAGAACGCAAGTACATCTTCAGATCCAGCTCCCATCATGTACATCATCATTGACATCCAAAATCTGCATGCAAGGTGCAGAAGTGTAGTATGAGTACAACCGACCCCATGTACTCAATAAGTAACAAACCTAACCTTAGGTTGAAAGTAGTGATGAGCTTGTACCAAGGTCAGGGTCCAGCTCTATTAACCAACAACAGTTCATAACAACATAAAGCGAGTAATACAAGAAGTAACTCAAAGAATAAACGCTCAGCTACATCATGATTTTTGAAAATAATTCTGCCTTTCCACTGTATCAGTGAAAATCCAAATCGTTTACCAGAAATATAAGTAAGTTTGAAAACAGTAATTTTTCCCAAAAATCCTTTCAACAATGATAAGATATTTTATTTTATTTCCAGATAACCAGTGGAAAATGCATCACTATGCCCATATGCCAATATGTGTGAGAAGTCATGAATGATGTGATACCGTACAACATGAGGAAAATGCATCTTTATGCCTGTATGTCAAATGTGCATGTCAATGCGATGCAACTCAGTGATAAAAATCATATGCATACTCTCAGAGTATCATTTCACTCAGTCCTCCCAATCACTCAATCCTCCCAGTCACTTAGTCCTCAAAGTCACTCATTCCTCACAGTCACTCGGTCCTCCCAATCACTCGGCACTCGACACTCACACTCAGTAGATACCTGCGCTCACTGGGGGTGTGTACAGACTCCGGAGGGGCTCCTTCAGCCCAAGCTCTAAAATTTGTACGGACAACTCGCGTGCTATAGTATCAATATCTATATCCACATGGATAACTCATGTGCTATAATAAGCCAATCTGGTCTGCTGCGGCGTGCAACCCGATCCCATAATTATCCTCACAATCAAGCCCTCGGCCTCACTCAGTCATCAATCTCTCCAGTCTCTCGGGCTCACAATGTCATGAAACTAGCCCAAAAATGATGATATGATGTATCAATAAATAACAACAGAGATTGAGATATGATATGCATATGAATGCATATGACTGAGTATGTAATGCAATGAAAGCAGATAACTCAACAATAAAAATGACCTCGGTGGGTCCCAACAGGATAAACATGTAGCCTAAACATAGTTTATAGCATGAATCACATTTTGATAACCCTAGTACGTAGAGATTTCATGATTTCAGACAAGTTCAGGTAACTACACAGTACCACAGAAATATCGGAGTCACAGCTCACACGGTGTATGCCAACATGCCCGTCACTTAGCATGTGCGTCACCTCAACACCAAACACGTAACACGTATAATCAGGGTTCATACCCTCAGCTCCAAAATTAGAAGAGTTACTTACCTCAAACAAGTCGAGTCCAATATTGAGCAAGCTAAACAATGCTCCAGAAATTTTATTCTGCATGTATCAACCTCCGAACTACTCGAATCTAGTCATAATTAACTCGATTCAGTCAACATAAATTATAGAAATTAATTCCATATAAAAATACTAATTTTTCCATAAAATCCAAAATTACACTCAAAAATCGCCAAGAGGGCCCACATCTCGAAATCCGATAAAACTTACAAAATCCGAACCCTCGTTCAACCACGAGTCCAACTATACCAAAATTACTCAAATTTGACCACAACTTGGCCTTCAAATCCTCAATTAAAGTCTATGAATTTTTTTACTATTTTCAACCCAAAACACTAATTTGTTGATAAAAACAATATTATATTCTTATAATTTAACCAAAACCGAGTTAGAATCACTTACTCCAATCCATATGGTGAAAATTACCTCAAAAATTACTTCAATCCGAGCTCCATAGCTCCAAATGTGTTAAAATGGCCGAAACCTCAAAATATAGCTTTTGTCCAGAAATTTACTCTTCGCGATCGCGGAAAATGCTTTGTGATCGCGAAGCACAAAATTTTCCAACCCCAAAATTTCCCTTCGCGATCGCGAAGAACAAACTCTCAAATTCTTCCAGATAGCCTCTAGTTTAATGGTCATAACCTTTTGTACAAAACTCCAAATGACAAACGGTTTACTTTTCTAAAACTTAGACATCAAGGGCTATAACTTTTATTTTTGGATCATCTCCAAATTCCTTATAGATTGCGAGATATAAGCTTCCAAAGTTGGATCAGTGCAGCAGAGATTTTGTTCTACGCGATCGCGAAAGAGCTTCTGCGATCGCGATTCACAAGGCCCCAAATTGTTGTTTGCTCTTCGCGAACGTGACCAAATATTCGCGATCACGATGTACACCAATGTAGACAAAAACCAGCAATTAAAAATGGCCTAGAAATGGTCTGAAACCACCCCGAAACTCACCTGAGCCCATCGGGACCTCAACCAAATATACCAACATGTCCTAAAACATCATACGAACTTAGTCGAAGCCTTGAATTACATCAAACAATGGTAAAACCACGAATCATGCCCCAATTCAAGCTTAATGAAACTAAGAAATTCCATCTTCTACATTTGATGCCGAAACCTATCGAATCAAGTCCGATTGACCTCACATTTTGTACACAAGTCATAAAAGACATAATAGACCTATTCCAATTTCCAGAATCGGATTCCGACACCGATATCAAAAAGTCAACCCCCCGGTCAAACTTTTCAAAAATTCAATTTTCGTCATTTCAAGCCTAATTCCACTACGGACCTCCAAATAATTTTTTGGATACGCTCCTAAGTCCAAAATCATCATACAGAACTATTGGAATCATCAAAATTCAAATCCGAGGTCGTTTAGATATAAGTCTCATCCGGTCAACTTTTCTAACTTAAGTTTTCAATTATGAGACTAAGTGTCTCATTTCACTCTGAATTTCTTTCGGACCCGAACCAACTGACCCGGTAAGTCATAAAACAATTGTAAAGCATAAATTGAGTAGTAAATAGGAAAACGGGGCTGTAATACTCAAAACTACCGGTCGGATCGTTACACCCATGAACCCAATTCAAGAGGTGGAAGTATTCGATGTATGGAGAATTGACTTTATGGGACCATTTATCAGCTCATATAATAACAAGTACATACTTGTAGCAGTGGACTATGTCTCGAAATAGGTAGAAGCCATGAAACTTCCAACAAATGACGCGAAGGCAGTTATTGGTTTCCTGAGAAAGAACATCTTCACCCGATTTGGCACTCCAAGAGCTATCATCAATGATGGGGCACCCACTTCTGCAACCGAGCCTTTGCAAAGTTGTTGGAGAAATATGGTGTTCGCCATAAAGTTGCTACTCCGTATCACCCATAAACAAGTGAGCAAGTCGAGGTGTCAAACAGAGGAATCAAGAGTGTTTTGACCAAAACTGCAAATGCTACTCGGACTTATTGGGCGAGAAAATTGGATGATGCACTATGGTCTTACCGCACTGCATTCAAATCTCTGATTGGTATGTCGCCGTATAAATTGGTGTTTGGAAAGGCATGTCACTTGCCGGTGGAGTTAGAGCATAAAGCCTTTTGGGTGTTGCAGCAATTAAATCTGGACGTGGAGGCCGCTGGAACTAGTAGAGTCACAGCGCTGCATGAACTTGACGAGTTTCGGTACCACACTTTTGAGAGTACGATGTTATACAAGGAAAGAATGAAACTGGTGCACGACAAAAACATTCTTGAGCAAAATTTTAAGCCGGGAGACAGGGTATTATTATTCAATTCGAGATTGAGGTTGTTTCCGGGAAAATTGAAGTCAAGATGGTCAGGACCATTTTGTGTGCTAGAGATTCATCCCACCGGAGCCATAGAGATTGCTTCAGAAGATGGATCTCGCAAGTTCATAGTCAATGGGCACATGTTAAAATATTATCTGGGCATGGATGACACGAAAGTAGTGTCGGTGACTCATTTGCTAGAGCCACCAAAGTTAAGAGAGCCTTAAGTCGATTGCCTGCGTCGTGCCGCGATGTTAAATCAGGCGCTTCATGGGAGGCAACCCATTGTAATGTTGTATTCGTCATGATGTGACATTAACTAAGGCGCTCGTTGGGAGGCAACCCAATTCGTAGTTGATCTTTAGTGTAGTTATAATTTTTCTTTTCGTTTTTTAGGTACTAACATGTTTGCAGGTAATTTTAGCAACTCGTACAGTCGCCTGGTCCCTAGCGAGTTGGGCCAGGCGTTAGGTCTCGCATCGCATGATAGAAAGCTCACGTGGGAGCTCGCCTCGTGAGGGAAAAGGCGAGGTGCATCTGGCATGGGAGCTCGCCTCGCGAGGGGTGAGGCAAGGTGAGTCTGGCGTTAGGCCTCGCGCCGCAAGCCCAAGAGCCCGCGTTGGAGCACGCCTCGTGAGGGGTAAGGCGAGGAAGCCACCTTGCGTCGCCAGGTAAGTGCATTTTTCGGTTATTTTAATTATTTTTTCCTTATTTCTTTTAACCCCCTCCCTTAAAAATCTAACCTAAACGCCCAAACCACATTGCTCGTAAAATACACTCAAGAACTCGGCCAAACCCCTTCCCTCACAACCCCATTGGAGACAAGCAATCTTCTGTTATTTCCTTCACTTGCAACAACAATTCAAAGGCAAATCCCTCCTCTTAAACATCTAAGGTATGATTTCTATCTCTTTTCTTTGGGCAATTTTGAGTTGACTGAATGCATGACATTAGACACAAAATCCAGGGTTGTTCTTCATTGTAACAATGTATTTGTGTGTCCCAACCCCATGAACCTCATAGGAATGGTGTTGTTATTGTGTGAACAAGTGGTAGTACGGAACTCCCAAGTTGATTTGGGAGGGTGAGGCAATCCCTCACCCCTACGAGCACTCCCATGGCACTAGTGCATGCTAAGTGTTTGTTATAATGCCTCAATGGCATTCTTTGTCCCCATTGGACCCCGAGTCTCCGGGATTATCAGACTAGTGCTATATAGTCGTGCACCACTTTAAAATCTTAAGTGTGGGGTGGCTCACCGGTAGCCCGATGCTTCGAAATTGGAGGAAGCACCCATGTGTCATTGCTTGATTCTCATACTAAGAAACGATGAGGCAAAGTCTGAGTAACCTCGGAAATTGTTGATAATCATGTGTTAAACTCTTATGTGTGGGGGTGGCAAGACCATGTTTTGACATGTTGCAATGCAGCTTAAACTGATTCACGCTCACTTGTGTAGGTACGAATATGCCTCCAAGAAAAGATACAGGTAAAGGCAAAGCTACATCTACGGCTCCGTCTAAAGCTAAGGCTACCTCTGTACCTCCGCCGAAGAAGAGAAAAGGGGGGAAGCTACTTCCAGTCAAGGTGAAGGACAACAAGTTGTGACAGCTATCGCAGCCACTCATCCACAACCTCAAGGACAGCGGGAGTTTGGACTCAAAAGAATACCCCCACACACCAAGGATTGGTACAGGCGTCGTAGGCCAAAACATGTACATCTAGAAGCTGCTATTCATGAGTGTCGCTTGCAAGCCAAGTACCAAGCGATTTGGCGAGGCATCTATGAGTTGGGGTTGAGTTATGTGTTCAAAAATACAGGGGATATAAATCTTAATCTAGTTCGGGAATTCTATGCTGGGTTTGATCCAAAGGATCTAGAACAACCGGTGCTGATTCGTTGACGGTTGATAGATTTTTCAGCCACGACAATATGTAATTTCTTAGGTGCTCCGGATGTTCCTCAGGAACCATTGGACTACTTCATCGCCCGTCCTACATATCGAGAGCTGAGACACACTCTTTGCGGTGTCAATTCTATGGCAGCTTGGGTTCGGGATAAGAAAACAAATCGGCACAGGAAATTTCCCAAGAAGAAGATGAGGGCAGAGGCTCAAGTATGGTTGAAACTGATTAATACACGACTCCTACCTTGCAATCATGACATGCTTATTAGCCGTAAGAGGACGTATGTGTTATATTTACTCATGACGGGTCATAGGGTGAATGTGGGTCATTTGATCTGCTACCAGATGTCTCTAGTAAGAACTAGTAAGAGGATCGATCGAATGCCATTTGCAAATATGTTAACTCAGTTCTTGAGACACGAAGAGGTTGAGGAGGAGAAAGCTTTCGATCACATCATTGATCAGCCCTTACGACTAATGGACATTACAAGTATCCGGGTTAAGGAGGAGACTGCGATGCCATCACTGACATGTTCCGAGTACAATGCTAGCGATGACAGCTTTATGGCCCATTTATATGGGATGATGGACTTGCAACTTCGGATCGGGGGATGGCCAGCCACTACATAGGAGAGGGCCATATTGGAGCAAGGATTTCTGCTCAATGCTCATGCTCAGTAGTTGGTTGGGCTTGGTGATGGATACAGACTCCCAGACGATGAGGATGTCAACACACCTGAGCAGTCCGAGGACGAGCCGGAGAAGTCAGATGATGAGGATGATGAGGAGGAAGAGGAGGAAGCACAAGACGAGGAGTGGACAACCTCAGAGGAGGAAGGCGATGGCACGGCTTGATCAGGGAGTTTTCCTACACCCTACTCATTTTTTTCCTTGTTTTGTCAGTTTGTGTATGCACTGAGGACATCACATGAAAAATAAGTGTGGGGTGGTACTTGTAAATATTAGTCTTGTTTTAGTTAATTTTATTTTTCTTTTTGATTGTTATAATATACTAATTTTGTTTTAGTTAGTGTCGTCTTAGCCTTTAAAAAAATGATAAAAATGTGTAGTGTCGTCTTGCTAAGTAGAAAAAAAAATGTGGACTCTTCCCGACAATGGATCTCTTAGATAGTTTTCTTAAGGGAATTAAGTCTAAAGAAAAAAAAGATTTTCTTTTAGGTAGTGTAGTAATTCCCCCTTGATTTTTCTTTGGGCCGCGGTTCTTTTTTAAGGATTTTTAGTTGAACCGGGTGTAGTTAGTTTTAATTTTTAGGAGTAGAAACCACTGGGCTATGAATTGAATTGCAGCGATATCTCTTGATTGTGTTATTCCTTGAGAATAGTGAGTACTCTGGTTGTGATGCTTAGGCTCAGTTTTTGACTCTAGTATAAGTACCTTAAATCGTAGATTCTTAAATTTGCTTAAACTGCTTTGACTGGAGTGTCGTAATAAAATCAATCATTAGTGAGTTATGTGCCATGTGCGTGTAAGGTTTGTATGTATCTGTGCATTGCATTTGATGTCTAGAACTCGCCCCGTGTGTTTGTAAAGTGAAATAGTAGTTTTTTTCATTCTGGGAAGTGATATAGGCATTTCTTTGTTGAGCCAGATATATATAGTTTACCCGCCTAATTGCTATGTAACGTAGTTAACCCCTTTGAGCCTGTAATCTTGTTTCTTTGGAAGCCACACTACAAGCCTTAACCTTTTGTTTGAATTAACCATTTACTGGAACCTTTTCGCCTCTCATAAGCACTTGAATTGTTATGAACTGTGTAAAAGTTAAAGTGTGGGGTGGTGGTTTGGCTTTTGAGTGGAACTAATGAAATAAGGAGAAAGGTGCACTATTTTGAAAAAAATACAAGCCACTTGAATTGATAAAGAAAAAAAAAAGTTGTATTGTTCTAAAAAATATTCCTTGATAGTGGTGGCTTTTGATGTAATTGTGCTTAAAGAAGTACAAGGTAATATACATTGATGTGAAGGTGGAGTTATGATTTGACATAAGTATGGGCTTGAATGTTAAAGTATATGTATTAAAGTACTTAAGGGAAATGTAGTCACCCATATCCAAATGTATCCTACCCCACCCACAGCCTATATTACAACCAATTAAAGTCCTACTTGATCCTAGACTGAATGAGCGCGATTAGTAGAGTATTACACTACGGGCAAGCCTATGGTGCATCATTTGTGGCATATGAATGTTATTTCTGAGAGCGAGTGAATTTTTTCTATCTTGAGTTCCTACGTTCTTAAAACTCATTGTGTGTGGAACTAAGCTCTTTGTTGGGTGAGGACACGTGATTCATAAAAGAAAGGTAATGTCATTGACCTCCATGTTAGAGTAATTAAGTGAATTGTGAATAAGGCATGGTATTTGTGAGTCAAATTTTGAGGTGAGGATGTTATACCTTTGTGCTTAGTCTATTTGAAAGATGCATGGTGTGATGAGTTAAGGGAATTGGTTAAAAACTTGTGTCTATAAGTGTAGTTTGATTGCTCGAGGACGAGCAATATTTAAGTGTGGGGTATTGATGTGTGGCTATAATTTCATATTTTAGTACATTAATTGCCTTGCATTTTATGTGCTTTAATGTTAAACTACACTATATTTGCGCGTAATGGAGTCTATTTTATGTGTAGGTGAATTGGAGATGAAATTAGAGCAAAAGAAAGATTTAAAGAATAAAGTGTGCTCGAAAACTGTGGAAAGAAGAAAGAATGCATTAAGCAGTGAAAAGATAAAGAAGCTCGCGAGGCGACCCTTTGATCCCGCGTGGAAGATGGCGACGCGAGCCTTTGAGCTCGCGTAGGAGCAGGCGTCGTGACGGGTGAGGCGAGCTCGAGCTCGCATGGGAGCTGGCGCCGCACAGTGTTAGGCGAGGTTTATCTCGCGTGGAGCCTCGCGAGCATGTTCTGAGGCGCGCTTACTTTGGATTTTGAAGGCTTATTTCGTTTCCTGGTTTGACTAGGACTTGACCTATGTCGTTTAGGTCTTTTCCTACACATATAAATAGACATAAAACACCACTTTTGAAAGAGTTTTTGCGAACAGAGGCAATAATAGCTCGTGGAACACCAGTTGGGAGATAGAATCATCGATTTCTACATTCTTTCATCTTTACTTTGTAATTTAGTTATGCAAAATATTTGGGATATTGTTACTACGAGTATGAGTAGCTAAACTCCTAATCTAGGGTTTTGATGGAACCTATTGGAGAATAAATTTCTTGTTACGCTAATATAGATTTGCCGTAGTATTTTCTCTATTTGTTCAACTACATTATTATTGTGGTTGGTTGAAGAGCTCTCAATT